TGCCATTGGGATTAGCGTCGAGTACGGATGTAGGGCGATGGATTATTTCGAGGAAGGCCATACAGGGCGTGCAGGTATAACATTGGAGAACGGTTGTCGAATGGAAGCAGACGTCGTTATTGCTGCCGATGGGTTGAGAAGCCATTCGACCAAGGTGACACTGGGACAGGAGATTCGGGCACGACCAACCGGACAAGCCTTGTATCGGACTGCCTTTCCCGTCGAGTTAGCCATGGCTGATCCAATGGTCCGAGAGAGGTTTCCGGTGGTAGGGGAGAAGGAAGGACCGATTGAATTTTGGGCTGGGTATGACCATACCTCCACAAAATATCTGTCTCCATTATGAAAAAAAGAAAATCATTCTAATTGACAAAAGCGAGCACTATCATTTCCTCGTCATTAGGACATCCGATATCATATCTTGGACTTTATCACACAAGGTGAGTGAGCCAAACATTTCGCCCTAACAACGAGACCAGAATATATCCCTACCCAATTAGATCTTTAACACCGCAAATAACATTAGGCCTACGAAAGCGCCACAGAATCCTGGGCCCACAGAGCCGACCCCGAAGACGTCTGCAAAATAACCTCAACCATCCCTAACTGGCCAGAAGTGGCAGATCGTCTAATCCGTCTTACCCCCAAAGACCGACTCCTTCACTTCCGCGTGATGTGGCGAGATCCCCAGCCCACATGGGTCTCGCCAGCAGGCCGTATCATACAGATCGGAGATGCCGCACACACCTACATCCCGGCATCAGGTAATGGCGCAACACAGGGAATCGAAGATGCTGTCTCTCTAGCTACCTGCTTGCGAATGGCGGGGAACACAGAGCAAGCTCCCTGGGCGCTGAGGATCCATAATCGGCTACGGTATGTTTATTACTATCCTCCTCACGAACCCCGGAAAGATAATTGGTTGGTTCTCGCTGATAACTGATTGGATCCACATACAGCTTCGTCCGAGTCTCTTGTCTCCAAAAGCTAGGCCTCATCAATCTCAAAAGCTACTCCGAAAAGCCCAAGAAAGATAACTTCACACCGAAGGGGCTCCAGTATCTAACAGCGGAGTGGATCTGGGGCCATGAGCCGGAGAAATACGCCGAGGAGAACTACAGCAAGGCACTAGATCATTTGCAGCGGGGCACTCCGTTCCAGGATACGAATATCCCCCGCGGTCATGTGTACCGTGACTGGACAATTGATGAGATGTTGGAGATGCAGGAGAGGGGGGAGGAGATTGAGTTGGATGGGGAGTGGGAGTGAATGCATTGCTTTTTGGTCTAGCCTTTATTTTTCGTAAATCATATTTATACTTATATGCACTTAGCTGCCATGTTAGGCAGTAATTGACTACCTTCTATAGATGAAGGACATTATGATGCTTTAGAAATATAGAATAAATGCAATTGGGAATCATGTACAACTCTCAACCGAAACACATCATATATACAGACAAAAAAGCATCACTTCCTAGATAGCAAATCGACTCCATTGTTCATTTACCACCGGCGGTACTATCCACATCGTTAGCAGAATAATAGAAACAAGTCTGTACCATATTTAACATACCTCAGGAGGTCCCGGAGGTGGAGGACCGGGAGGGCCAGGGCGGTCCCAAGGCCCCGGGGGCCCAGGAGGAGGGGGACCATGAGGACCACCAGGGCGATCCCAGGGGTCTCTAGGTCCCGGAGGAGGAGGTCCCGGGGGGCCACCGGGGCGGTCCCAAGGGTCTCTAGGGCCTGGCGGAGGAGGTCCAGGGGGGCCACCAGGACGGTCCCAGGGGTCTCTTGGTCCCGGAGGAGGAGGGCCGGGAGGACCACCGGGGCGACCCCAGGGGTCTCTCTGATCAGGAGGAGGGCCAGGAGGGCCAGGAGGGCCAGGAGGTCCAGGAGGCGGAGGACGAGCCCAGGGATCTCTGGGATCATGAGGGGGAGGACCGGGAGGGCCAGGTGGCGGGCCACCAGGACGGTCCCAGGGCCCAGGGCCTGGAGGAGGAGGGCCTTGAGGCCCGGGAGGAGGGGGATTGTTGTGATGGTGGTGATGCGAGAAGAGACCCATTTTGGATAGGTTGTGAGGATGGTTGTTGTTGTTGTCTAAGGATGGAGAAGGTTAAGGTCTTAAATAACTTCCACGTTGCTTTAGATTTGGGCGGCGGGGTGGGGACCGGGCCACAGTAGGCAACGCCTTTCTTCAAGCAGAAGTGGGACACTGAATTCTCCGTAGTACTTCGTAATTATAGCATAGATGACATTGGTCGATATGGGGCTCTTTTGTGGCTGGGTTGCTAGTACTAAATACTATGGGTATGAGACGGCGGTTCTATGTTCAACCCCTCCGTTCTCCTCCGCGTTTGACACTGTGTCCCCATCGTTCAAAGTATTAGGGGGAAGGGGAAATGTAAACAATGTTGCCTATCAGGGGCTGTCAACGTGCATTGGATGCGAGTCTAATCCATGGTTGGACTGGGAATATTATTGAGACGGGGCCCCTCTAATACCAAGTTTAGGGTTCGTAGTCCCCATAGTTTTGGTACGTGGTTCCTGACAAGCCCGCTGTGGCATATTGTGCTGGTGGGAACCTCCTCTTTAACTGTGGATATTGATCACTAAGATGAGAAAGTTGTCATGAATTATTATATCCCATCGTGTCCAGAATTACTCGCAATTACTCGTGCCTGATATCATTCCGATTTCCGAAGCAAAAAGTGGCCACACGTCGGGTTCGGTCGACATCCCCACGAGAGCGTTTAGGGCACAATTAGCGCCTCCGAGTGGATCGAAGCATACGTATGGCCCCCCACTATCGCCTCAGCCTTGGGAAGGTTGATGTGCATGATCAATTCATTCGGCTGTTGTTCGAGAAGACTTCCAGAGGCTAAGCCACATCATCGTTTCGAAGACAGCACGCTGACGTGTTGCTTATCTGGTCCGCATCCATGCAAGTGTCAATCCACCATGACAGTCACATCGCTAAGTTGAGAGCATCAATGATATCAAGTCGCAGCAATTTGAAAGCCTCCGGGTATAGTTTTATCCGTTTGGCTTTTCGCCTCAAACACGAGGCATGGTGTCCGTCGATTATTTTAGTGGAGTTGGTTAAGTGTTCACAGTATCCTTAAAAGGGGAGCAACCCCTGTAAACCGGTCCACCAGGATCACCCGTGCATTAAACTCCGAGTGTCAAGCCTACGATCTAACGAGTCTCTACACGAAGCATAATGTCTACGAGAGTACTAATATGAAAATATGTAAGATAATGGCAGTCAGTGATGAGAAGGCGCTCTCAGAGCGTCCTACTGAAAATCCCTAGATCCGGAACAAATGATGATTATGTACATGCATCTCATTCTTCGTCTTCCTCGTCACTTACTTCCTCGCCAGCTTCGATAGCCTCTTGTCTTCTCTTCGCCGCAAGTTCCCTCTTGCGCTCTAGCAGCTTTTTCAATCTCTTGGCCGAACTGAATAATCCGTTCGTGGCGGATCCACAGGCTGCGCAGCTTGGGTCCTTCCTGTATCTTTGCAGAGCACACTGCTCGCAGAAGTAGTGACCGCATTTCGTGACAATTGGCTCCTTGTATGGCCCCTTGCAGATAAAACAGGCAAACGGAATGTCTTCCAGCATGGCCTCTTCGTCGTCGTCCTTATTCTCCGTCGTTGTCCGGTCGGCACTCGCAACCACTGTTCCCTTCAATTGTTTGCCCTTGGTGACGGTCTCCCACTCTCGATCCAGTTCCCATCCCTGTTTGTAGTCGCTTCGATCGTGAAGGAATTTACTATACAATAATAGTTAGCATATGCTTCAGTAAGATGAGCTGCTCCCTCTTGAGTGGCAAATGTGTATGTCGAGAGAAAGGGGCGACGGCACTCACCAATTATCACCGAAACCACAGAATCCAGTCTGCTTGTAGTCCTTGCACACATCTGGAGAGTAGTCCGTCACTGTTATAGTACGGATATTGGTTGCTGCCTTGATCGGTCCGAATGACCTGTTCGGCGCATTCGGATTCTTCTTGATGAATGATGTCTGGTTCGCCAGTCCCCTATATGTGCCATCCGGCATTTGCGGCTCATTCGAAGCAGATTGCGGTTTCGATGAACGCGCATCCTTAGAATCCTCGTCAAACCAGTCGACATGTTTTGTGGCGTCGTTCGTATCCGCAAGCTGGACTTTGCCGTCACCGGTGGCGGTGGCCGCAGGTTCCCGATCGATAGGCTTGGTAGTCGCAGATGAAGCAGAGACAACCCCAGCACCCTTGTTCTTTCTGCGCTTTATTCTGTGACCCGATTCGTCTTCAGAGGAGGAAAAGTCGGAAGAATCGTCGTCTTGCGATACGGGAGGCGGTGCTGGTCTTTTGCGGATGTTCTGACTCGCCTTTGCGCCGCGCTTTTTGAATGTGACAACCGGCGGTTGGGGGTCCGGAGCTGCAGCTGCAGCTGCAGCTGTATCATTTGTCGTCTCAGCCATTGTAATATGAGCGACGGGTCTGCGACGGAAGTCTATGGAGTTGATGCGAGATGAGAAATGACCGAGCACATCAGGACGCGATAAACGTTGATGCGCTCGGATCATGTGATGATAAGATAGAGTTGCTCCTCACGTGATACGCGATTGTGTATCTGCTGATGTCATCATCGAAGACGCGCGAAACTTCCTGAGCAACTTCTTTCTCATCATCAATTGGTGAAAGAGAATTTGTACACCGAGGACCAGATCCGCTGTAACCATGTTTGCCCGATCGACGCATTCAGCAGAGCATATGCGCGGCGTCATGGCGCAGGTGCGTCAGCCTTGTGCTGCGCCACGGCAGGTGCCACCGAACTGGTGGTGAAGCGCGGATCATGTGTTCCCAGCATAAACTTGACGATTGCCGGGTGGTTAAAACTGTAAATAGAATTGCTGATGACAGTTGCCTAATTGATTGCGATCATTATGATCTTATGCTCTCTCAACGACGGTTAAATCAAAGTGACAAAAAGTGATAAGACCCAGAAAGTTCGCTCAACCTGGGAATCGAACCGAGGATGTTGTGCATGCAAAGCACACCTTAACCACTGGGCCAGTCGGGCACAACCATGGTTAAAAATCAGATCTTCTCCTCGAGCACTTATATGGGGAAGAGAGTCGAACCCTGAACGCGGGTGGTCCCTGCCTGCTTGACATACTTTGTGGATCCTGCTAAACTCTTCCGATCCCACGGCACCCAAACTGGGGATCTTCAGAGGCGGTGCTCTGCTGCTCATCATGACTTCGCTCCGCCTCTCTTCGCGGAATAAATACCCTCGACCTTCTCCTCCCCTTGGAGCTTTCCCTTCTTTATAACAGATAGATCCTCCTCTCCTTCAAAAGCATCATGTATCCCCATCATAACCGTACGTGATGCCCCACAGTGTCCCCGCGTTCCTGCATCATGCTGATCGCTTCATCACAGGCCCTCCATATCCTCCCTACACAGGCCCGCCGCAGGGCTACAATCAACAACCGAACCCATCACCATTTCCTCCTCAGAGCCAGCAACACATGGCCGCGCCGCCTTACCCGAACCAGCCTGGCTACCCTCCCTACGGCGCTCCACATCCCAATCAGCCTCCATATCCTAATACCCCACCAGGCGGCGCTCCAGGTCGACAAGATATGTACCACGGGGGTCCACAAGGGTATTCGCAAGGCTTGCCTCCTCCCCAAGGCGCTCCTCATGGACCTCCACAAGGCATGCCTCAAGGATCATTCGGTGCAGCACCTCCCTTTCCACCTCACCCCGCCGCTCCACCACACCCTCAACTTTATGCCCCGCTTGCATCCGTGCCATCGTTGGGCTACGTTCGAGGTCAACAAGCAAATGGAGACTTCCGACCCCAAGCCGATCAGCTCCGTCGCGCAATGAAAGGCTTCGGGACAGACGAGAAGACCCTGATTCAGGTTCTCGCCAAGCTAGACCCTCTCCAAATGGCCGCCGTACGATCCACCTACACACAGCACATCCGACGAGATCTCTACAAGGACGTTAAAGGCGAGACAAGCGGCTACTTTCGTCGGGGTCTCCTAGCCATCATTGATGGCCCGTTGCAGTACGATGTAGCCTGCGCCAGAGAAGCTGTCGAAGGCATTGGCACGAAGGAATGGCTTCTCAACGACATCCTTCTATCCCGGTCCAATGCTGATATGAACGCCATAAAGGCCGCTTATCAGCAAACATACCACCGCGCTCTCGAAAAGGACGTTGAAGGTGACTTGTCATTCAAAACCCGGAATTTGTTCTCCCTGGTTCTTCGCGCCACTCGACACGAGGAATCAGCCCCATTAGACCCGCAACTTATCGAAGCAGAAGCCAAGTCTCTCCATCAAGCAACGGCTGCGCGAATGGTCAACAATGTTGATGAAGTATGCGGTATAATAGCCAGGGCCTCGGATAACGAGCTTCGTGCTATCAATCATGCGTTCTATACCCGGTACAACATCCACTTGACCAAGCATATCGAGAAAGAGTTTTCTGGACACATGAAGGATGCACTGTTGCATATGCTCGGTGCTGCGTTGGATCCGGCCATGCACGACGCGGAGCAACTCGAAGACTGCATGAAGGGGATGGGAACCAAGGACGAGAAACTGGTGACCAGAGGAGTCCGCATACACTGGGCACCTGGGCACTTGGATCAGGTGAAACGGGCATATCGCCATCGGTTCCAGAAAGATCTTATCGAGCGGGTCAGGGGGGAGACGAGTGGTGATTACCAGCGGTTGATGGTGGCGTTATTGCAGTAGCAGTACTTCCTTTGCTATCGCTCTTCTTAATGTTTACTCGACGAAACAGCCATGACTTACGACTGGGCACGGGTATGGTATGGTGCGGCTGGGTTTGTATTTGTAGTTTCATGGGCGATGATAGACTGGGCTGGATGGCTACCTCTCGGTCCTTACTTAGTTTACTGGATGGCGGTGATTATCATCAACGCGAGTTAATCCTACTCAGCTAGTTCCCTTCAATAATCAGATTATCAAGATTGATTCTCTACTGTGAATCTAACCTATCATAAACTTTTTATCTTCGATCTGGATCGCCCTTCCCAGGCTAAGACATCTACTCAGAGCCTATAACCAAACTACTTAGCTCATAACCCCTTCCTCGATCATCAACTCATTCAGTCATTCATTCATTCATCATAAGTAACAACACTCATATACTACATACAAACATAAGTCATGTAACATCCCATCATCAGTCAATGAACCGTAAAACGAATCGAGCAAAGAAAAACACAGAAAGAGCAACAATATGCAATGAACCCGAACTGTCACCACCACCAACACCACCATCATCATCATCGTCTTAAACCACCTCCCCCGCAACAAACACATGCGCCCCCGGAAACAACCCCGTCAACCCAGCATAACACCCCCAATACCAATCATCATTGATATTCTCTGCCTCAGTGATTTCTGCGCCGCGCGGAAACATCAATTCATCTTTGACTCCGTCTTCGGGGTACCATGACCACAGGGCATGGACGACTAATCCGACGCCGCCGTCAGGTGGGTAGCGGCGGGTGCCGGTCGGAGTCATCATCGTAGTATTAGGAGTGGTTGGGGGAGATGATATCTGTGAGGATATAGCTGGGTTGGATGTGGTGAAGGGGGAAGATGTGGTGATGGTGGGTGTGCTTGGTTCGGAGGACCGGTCACGATCACGATCACGATCACGGACACCGATAGTCCAGGGTCTAATGCGCGAGGCCTTTTTGCGTCGCTCGGAGCCCTCTTTCCAGCTCCAGTCGCCGGAGCCGATTTCGGGGGAGGCGATGGTGGAGTTGGAAGAAGAAATAGCGGTGATTGGGGAGGCTGCTGGAGAGGAGGGTTGGATGAGGTGGTCGTCGTTCAGGGCACGGCCGCCGACGAGGTCGCGGAGGACGACGCGGCGTTGGCCTTCTTCGTGGTCTTCGAAGCCGATTACCGCCATGCGATGGCCTTTTAGGCAGCGGCGCCAGCCGTTGTGGCCGTTCTCTTTACGGATCTTGCCGATGGCCACGAGGCGGAGGTAGCAGTTGGTGCAGATGTCGTAGTCGCCGTTGTTGCATTGGAGGCAGTGGAAGCGGGGAGTGGAGTCTGGGATTGGGTGTGTGCAGATGTCGCAGTTTGTTGCGATGGAGAGGATCTTGTAGGTTTCGAGAGATGGGGAGGGTGTGCTGTCGGTTGCGGTGGGGGATGGGTTGCTGTTGGGTGGGATGCGGCAGATTGGGAGAAGAGCATGGGTGCAGCATCGTCCTTGGTTCACGCAGCGGTTGCAAAAACCCCAGTCACCTTCATTGCACTGGTCACACTTCCAGTAACAGTCGTTGGCTGGAGATTGGCAGCTATCGCAGAAGAAGCCGGTGGTTAGTCTGTTTACTGGGTCGTCGGTGGTCAGGACTCGTCCGTCTCGGTCGGAACGGTAGGCTGTGTCTGGTGCTCGACGGTACTTGCACGACAGTAGGATGTGCTGCTGGGAGCTGCGTAGTGGTGGGGGATGGCCGCTTGAAGAAGCGATAATGCGTTCAAAGCCCGCTTCTGCCGATCTTGCGAAGCCTGCCCATTCGAGACATCCTTCGCCGGTGCGATAGCACCTCAAACACAGGTTGTATTTGCCATCATTGCATTTGGGGCACTTCTTGTGTAGATCGTATTGTATCTTCTCCTTGCCACATCGGTCGCATGAAATAGACGGTTCACTGAACGTGATAGCCGAGCGAGGCGCATTGGACCGAGATGAAGATGGTCGAGATCGCGCCTCTGATCTACCGGTTCCTCCAACTTCCGCCACTAAGGAACTGGTCACAGGGACGACCATCCCGGGGCTCGCTGGCGAAGAACCAGTGTGTGTGTTCTGCTCAAGAGCTGCAACCACTCGTGGTGAATCGATGGATAACCTACCCGGGGCTCGTCGGATGGCACGTTCCCTGGTGCCTTCCACCCAGATGTTCGGAGTGTTCTGCTCAGACGCCGTAGCACGCCGAGACCGTGGCACGGATGAATCCGTTCGCACTCGGGCAGCCTGCGAATTCCGGGGTCGATCAGTAATCACATCACTAGACGACCGCGCTGCAGGCCTCAGCGTGACCTCCGATGAAGACGCAGGATTCGCAGGCACAGGAGACGTTCGCCGGCGACTGCTGCCCTGATCCGACAATCGTCTCTGATGACCCGAAGCTCCATTGCGTGCCACAAGCGGATCTAGCAGATACGGTCTCGACACAGGAGGACTCCGACTAGACTCGGTCGGCGTAGAACTTTCCTGTGGTCTCTGCGTAGACTGCGAGCGAGCCCGAGCCCGTGACGACGGTTGATGTGTCTCCCGAGCCTCCAACCGTTGCTGCGAGCGAGACCGCAATCTATGCCTCCGACGATAAGCATCAGCGATGCGCTCACTGAGCTCCTCTTCCTGCGCCGGAGCCAGATTATCCAAGTCGATATCATCCAGCAGCCCCTCCTCCAGAATCTGCCGTAGAATCTGGTCCTGTATCGTTTCCGTATCCGACAGACTCAACAACGACCGCAAACTAGACTGATGCTCGATGTGTCTATTGCGTTCCGAAACAGTCTCCCCCTGCCGTCGCCGCGCAGCACGCTCCTCCTCACGCCGTCGTTGTCGCGCCCCATCCACATCAGCACTCGAATCCGTGCGACGAGTCCGCGACGACTGCCTCGACCGATGACCAGTAGCAGCCGTAGTATCTCTTGTCCGAACCCGACTCTCCTGCAGACTCAATTCCCTTACCTCCTCCAACAACCGCCGATCCTCATCATCCGACGCATCGCTCCCCCGTTCAGCCGAAGGCAAAGTAGGAAACACCGAATCACCATGTTTATATCTCCGCGCAATTTCCTCCTTCTCCTCAGCCGACTTATCCCGGTCGGGACTCGCCGCCAGAACCATATCCAGTAATGTGGTGACGGTAGCATTAGGGCGGGTTTCGCGGACAACCGCGCGACAGGACGGACATGTGAACCGGACGGATGATGATGACCGGGCGCGGGACGCTTGTGCAGAGAACCATTCTTTGAGACAGGAGCCGCAGAAGGTGTGCAAGCAGTCCAG